TGCGTCGCATTTGTCTTAATTGCTACAAAGAATAAAAAATATTTGTTTGCTATAGTTATCAATTAATATTGAAAGAATTACCTCATGATTTAAATATCAATATCTATACTCAATATTGCGCTTTCTCTCAGCTGTGTATGTATTTTTTAGCGTGAAGGCTAATACATCATGCAAACATTTTTCCGATATCTCATTTATATATACAAAATTGACAATAATCATTCGTTTATGATCCGTAAAATTTTTATCCCAGAACATTTGCCGTATAAATTTCGGCCACGTATTTGCATTGCCAATAATGTCCTGAATCGCAAGGCACGGATTATTGTTCAATTGCTGAATTGAGTATGCCATTGTAAAATTAAGATGTGCAGGTTGTAAATGACAAGATATTTATTTAAGTAAGACGCGTCGAAGTACACTACATATGTCGCTACGGAGCATGCGCGTGCGGCCATGAAGCATGCGCATGTGGCCGCGGGGCATGTTCGTAGTCGCTACATCTTGTCGGTATGACAGGTCTCATAACCTGATAGTCGTCAACTTTAACTGATAATATCTCGCTTCGCGGGGCAGAGCGACACTTTTTTCTGTCAGATTCTTTCGTTTCACGCAAAAACGCGTCGATTAAGCCTAAGTTCAACGAAATCCGTGAGGAGGCCATTATTCTGCATATTTACCAAAAATTATTTTTGAATAATATAAGAATATATTTCTCTTTATTGATTTATATGCAATGGTTTGATACAAGTAATTTTTCTTTGTTTAACGCTTTACAATCTTATTTTAAGAGTTACATATCAAAGATAAAGGATATTCTCTAAATAAGAATGCTCTTTTATCTTAACTCAGTAGCTAGGTAAGTTTACCCTGCAAAAGGTCGGGTAGTTTTGATTTTTGGATGTGTTTTATACTTTGGGGTCCTAATAAAAAATCCAAGTTTTTGACTTTGGCGCACTTCCGCTCGCGCCGCCATCTTAAAAAAATGGAGCACAAAACCGGTTTTTTCGGAATATCTCCTCACCAGTCGGTATTTGGGCAAAAATAGTTATTATCAATTTTGTAGAAGATATAATTCCCTACAACTTTTGTCTGAAACATTTTTTCGTATATCTAATAGATAGCAAGCTACAGAACTGTAAAGTGAAGTAAATTATTACAAATATCACATGCCTCGATGATCGAATTGTTGAGACACCCGCACGGTATGAGGGAGGTCCAGGTTCGAATCCTGGCTGAGGTGATATTTTTCGCAATAACTTCTTTACAGTAATATTTGGGGGGAGGAGATGTTAGATACGATGCGTATCAGCATCAAAAAAATGAACGCGTGGTCGCCACGCGCGTTAGAAGTGAAACTTCTGAAGGCAAGGCTTTGCCATAACTTTTCTGAAATTAATACAAAAACAATGCCACAGAATTGGTCACTCCAAGCCGCCCGCAACTCGAAAATATAGTGTTACACGCAGTTCTCACTATATCCGTCTCGCCAGTGCCGTACGCCTGATCGAATTTTCGTGACGCGTTTTCGAGTCGCACAATTGAACTTACTACCGTACTAAAGAAGTTTAATTTCGTACGCCTATTGTTCGAATTTTCGTTACACTTTTCGTGTCGCATGATCGAACTTACTACCGTGCCAGAAGAAGAACCGTCTCGCCAACGCCGTATGCCTATTGGTCAAATTTTCGTTACACTTTTTGTGTCGCACAATCGAACTTACTACCGTACCAAAGAAGTTTCATTTTGTACGCCTATTGGTCGAATTTTCGTTACACTTTTCGTGTCGCATAATCGAACTTACTACCATGCCAGAAGAAGAACCGTCTCGCTAACGCCGTACGCCTATTGGTTAATTTTTGTTACACTTTTCGTGTCGCACAATCGAACTTACTACCGTACCAAAGAAGTTTTACTTCCGTTACACTTTTTCGTGTCGCGAATCGAACTCACTACCGTGCCTAAAGAAGTTTCACTTCAAAATTAAATCGATTATTGATTTAAAAATACGTAAATTTACTGTTCCTACAAGCATGCTGTGTTTCAAAACCGACAATTTAGTTGGCGCGCAGTATTTGTTGGAAATAGTATCTACTAAAAATTCACACGAAAAATTATTTCGTTACTTAGATCCAAAAGCTCAAACTAGACGGCATTCTCACATTGTGTCGACTTTAAATCTTAGAGTCCTATTATTATTGTTAATAATAATAATAATAAATTTATATTAATAGAAATTACTAAACAATAATTATAATAAAATATGCTTAAAAAGGAGCCTGTTGAGAATCTAACGCTCGAAAAGTGAAAGCGAGCAACGTACACATTCGAGAACGCTCGATTTGCTCCGAACCGCGAGTATTTGCGTTCCCCCCTTTTTAAAGTGAAACTTCTTTAGGCACGGTAGTGAGTTTGATTTGCCACACGAAAAAGTGTAACGGAAGTGAAACTTCTTTGGTACGGTAGTAAGTTCGATTATGCGACACGAAAAGTGTAACGAAAATTCGACCAATAGGCGTACGAAATGAAACTTCTTTGGTACGGTAGTAAGTTCGATTGTGCGACACGAAAAGTGTAACGAAAATTCGACCAATAGGCGTACGAAATAAAACTTCTTTAAATAAATATATTAATTACCACTTTTGCAACTCTGGTTTCAACACAACAGTTGTTTTTAACCCTGAGCGTCTATATGTTTTCTTTTCTTCTTTTGGCACGGTAGTAAGTTCGATTTTGCGACACAAAAAAGCGTCACGAATTTTGCGACATGAATTTTGCGACACGAATTTTGCGACACAAAAAGTTATGGCAAAGCCCTTGCCTTCAGAAGTTTCACTTCTAACGCGCGTGGCAACCATGCGTTCATTTTTTTTTGTTTCCTTGAGCAACCGGCTCGCAGGTGTATATCGCGTGATCTGCCGCGTGATCGCACGTATCGCGACCAATAGTCTGTTCGCTAGACAATTTGGAGCCAATCAGCATATTTCACGTCACAATATTCTTCGCGGCATAATGCGTAGCTCCGGCTGCGATCGTTTCGCTTGCTCCGGCCAGGAGACCAGTGAGCCCTCGAATTTCGTGCACGACACTTGTGCTAGCGAGTGCTCTGCGATATCGAGAGACGGAATATTATCGAGTCGTATCCGATCAAGTACTGCATTATATCGCGACGAGAGAGACATTGTACATATTGTGCTGAATAAATTGATAAGTGTACACGAGACTGAGTTTTTTCGCCTTTCTCGGCGCAGCGCGCGAATACCCTGAGCGGTCTACTAACAGAGCCTTTTGTGAAATTTTTAATAATTTGTTCCACTTTATAGTGCTGTAGCTCGCTATCTATTACATATACGAAAAAATGTTTCAGACAAAAGTTGTAGGGAATTATATCTTCTATAAAATTGATAATAACTATTTTTGCCTAAATACCTACTAATAAGGGGATATTTCGAAAAATGAACGCGTGGTCGCCACGCGCGTTAGAAGTGAAACTTCTGAAAGCAAGGTTTTGCCATAACTTTTCTGAAATTAATACAAAAACAATACAACGGAATTAGTCACTCCAAACCGCCCGCAACTCGAAAATATAGTGTTACACGCAGTTCTCACTATATCCGTCTCGCCAGTGCCGTACGCCTGATCAAATTTTCGTGACACTATTTCGTGACGTTTTTTCGTGTCGCACAATCGAACTTACTACCGTGCTAAAGAAGTTTCATTTCGTACGCCTATTGGTCGAATTTTCGTTACACTTTTCGTGTCGCGAAATTTGTGTCGCTTTTCCGTGTCGCAAAATTGAACTTACTACCGTGCCAGAAGAAGGAGCCGTCTCGCCAACGCCGTACACCTATTGGTCGAATTTTCGTTACATTTTTCGTGTCGCGAAATTCGTGTCGCTTTTCCATGTCGCATAATCGAACTTACTACCTTGCCAGAAGGAGGACCATCTCGCCAACGCCGTACGCCTATTGGTCAAATTTTCGTTACACTTTTCGTGTCGCAAAATTCGTGTCGCTTTTCCGTGTCGCATAATCGAACTTACTACCGTGCCAGAAGAAGGACCGTCTCGCCAATGCCGTACGCCTATTGGTCAAATTTTCGTTACACTTTTCGTGTCGCGAAATTTGTGATTTCGTGTCGCGAATCGAACTCACTACCGTGCCTAAAGAAGTTTCACTTCAAAAACCGGTTTTGTGCTCCATTTTTTCAAGATGGCGGTTCGAGCGGAAGTGCGCCAAAGTCGAAAACTTGAATTTTTTATTAGGACCCCAAAATATAAAACATATCCAAAAATCAGAACTATCCGACCTTTTGTAGGGCAAGACCTATTTTCCCCCCCTGCTACTGGGCTATCTGTGTAAAGTTTACTATGGACAACCAAAGCTCCACCAGCTTGCTTACCCTACAGGCGATCTAAGAGTCTACATGTGCATTTACACGTTGGTGCTTTAAACGCAGAAATAAAAACATCAAAGCAATGATAGCTTGTTTGAATCGAATCGCGAAAGATTAATTGACTTTTCTTAATTCGATTCAAACAAGCTATTAATCGCTTCAATGTTGAATCAACTTTGAGTCGACGTTACATATTATACATATTAATATCTAATCGAGTATAAATATATGTCACTTGTTACGCATTTGAAATGTATATGTTACTTAATGTTCTATATCTGATACATATATGTTACATTGTTATGTATCACAGATAGAGCACTTAGAGTATAGTGATACATATCAGAGATATATCACAGAAGTACTATTGATGTTGACATTGTGTGCTACATGTAGGTAACTTGTGAGTTACTTGAGACATAACTAGGTACTTTGTGATACTTAATGTTTTATATCTGAGATATGTATGTTATATTACTGTGTTTACTGTCATAAGACTCTCTGTAACTTGTTTTATTTATTCTTTGAAATAGCAGAAATATTTAATTATTTTGTTCTCATGATTTTTTCTCGTACGTTTTTAAATACAAAATAATATTTCTTAGTGGTGCTACAACGGGTACCGGAGGTCGATTGAGGGACATCCAAGGAATTGGTAGAGGTGGACATTACATAGCAGGCACTGCAGGTTATAGTGTTGGGAACCTTTGTATTCCAGGTATACTATATTTGCATCTTTATTAAATCTATATCTATGGTATATTTGGGATCGGGACACAAGTCAGTCTATCAGTGACCAACATTTATTAACATCGTGCTTGGGAGCACGCGGTGTGCGCATTGCTAGCCGACTGTGTACTGGCCTCGTTGTCGCTCGGCGCTGCTCCGCTCACTCCGTCGCAGCGTGTCGGTGTTATTGTTCGCTATCGTACCGCGTACATTACAACTCTCCCGCCTTTATAATTTAAGCTCTATTGAAAGCGTGGAGAGCGACGCAATATCGGCTTGTTCGCTTGGCCTTTAATTATCTGATCAATGTGACGCTTTTGAATTGCACCTTTATCGGTCTGCACGACGTACGTAGATGGCGAAGTCTGTTTTACGATTTTACCTGCGGTTTGCTTATCGGCTCTTATGCCGTAATTATCGATCATGACATCGTCACCTACTGCTACTTCAACTTTGCGCCTAGCTGCACTACTTACGATTTGCGCGCGTTGCTTTTCCTCAATCGTTTCAGCTATATTCGGCTTCAAGGGATCAGATCGCGTTCGTAATTCGCGATTAAACATTAGATACGCTGGACTTCTACGGGTTATACAATGCTCGATACTACGATAATCATACAAAAACATATTTACACCTGTGTCCAGTGTCTCTCCCCCTGAACGATTTTTGTGACATTATTTTTAAAGGTTTGTACGAAGTTTTCCGCAGCTCCGTTTGTAGCTAGATGGTATGGAGGCGAGTACGTATGTTTTACACCGTTTTTCTCTAAGAAATTGTGAAATTGTTCTAAACTGCGGTCTTCCATCCGTAACGCAGTGTAATGGTAATCCAAAACGCGCGAACAAGCTTTTGAATTCTTCTATCAGCCTATAAGTCTTTGTATTATTCTTAAAATTAATTACCTCAGGCCATTTTGAGTGCGCATCGATAATAATAGAATACATGTTACCGTAAAATGGCCTAGCGAAATCACAATGAATGCGACTCCATGTTTTCGTCGGCCAAGGTCACGTCGTTAATGGCGTATGTGGCGGCTTTTTATGTTGAATCAAACAAATTTTACATCCATTTACCAATGTCTTTATATCCGAGTCTACTCTTGGCCACCAAACATACAAGCGCGCAAACATTTTGATTTTTACAATTCCCAGATGCGTGGCGTGTAATTCGTTTAATATTGACAATCTCATATTTTCCGGAATGACGGCTCGTAAACCCCAAAATAAACATCCTTTTTCAACTGTTAATTCTAATCGCTTTGAATAGTAACACTTTTTGTCATCCGATAATTTTTTCGCATCTGGCCATTCGCTCAATACATACTTACAATACATACTTCGTTATTTTGCTAACCGTGTTATCTTTTTTACTTTCGGGGCTGCTAACATTTTGTGATCAAAAGTTTGTATTCCTTCGATAAAGTTTATATGCGAAAAATTTGTTTCTAACTCTGACAACAGTATATCGTTATCTTTATCTTCAATTGGAAGTCTAGATAACGCATCGCAATTTGCATTTGCTTCAGATTTTACATGTTCTATAGTGTACCAAAATCCTGATAGGAAATAAGCCCATCTCTAAAAACGATTGTTGGCTGTTATCGGTATTCCTTTACGCGGGCCTAGAATTAATTGCAAAGCTTTATTATCTGTTCTCAGAATAATCACTTTTCCAAAAATAAATTCATAAAATCTTTTAAATCCGTAGACCATCGCCATCGCTTCTTTGTCGAGTATTGTACGGCTTAATTCTTTTTTTTTCTATTTTCTTAGACGCAATGCAATCGGATTCTTCGTGCCATCTTTATATTTATGAGACAATATTGCAGAAATTCCATAATCCGATGCATCACATGCTAACACTATCTGCTCTGTTGGATCGTAATGCGCTAGTACACGTGGTGAAATTAATTCATTTTCAACCAATCGAACGCTTTTGTACACTCATCGTTCCATTCGAACTCTTTTTTGTTTAGCAGTTCGTATAATGGAGTCAATTTTGCTGCCCTACTCTTTAGAAATCGCGAGTAAAATGTTACAAGTCCTAAAAACGACGCCAAATCTTTATGGTTTTTCGGTTGTGGGGCATTTATCATTGCAAGTACTTTAGATTTTGCTTTATGCAACCCGTGTTTGTTTATTACTTTACATACTCATACTCATCGCTCAAGTCTAATTTGTGAAATTCGTTGCAATGTGGTGTCGGCTCTGAAACCAGGGTTACTCCGCTGTCCTCCTGCATCAGCTTGAGCTGTTGTTGCGTTGATCCGGCGCTCCCTTTCCGGTACGCTATCTTTTGTCACAGTTATGGCACGTGAACTCTCGGTATTGGCACCATTTGCTTGTATAGTTCGGTTTTCCGCAGCAATAACACACGATGCCTTGCTCGCTCGACGGCTGCTGGTTGTGTTGTTGTTGATTGGAGCCAGCCGCGGGCCTCTGCTGCTCGTGCGGCTTTGTTGGATTACCCCTACTTATGTTCCATCTACCTGTGAGTTCTGTAAGGCGAAAACTTCGCTTTTGGCACTTTTATTTTCCAACACTTGTAATGTACTTGTTGCATTTTTTCTGCAGCTTCTCGCCATAGCTTCTTTAAACGCCGTCTCATAGTCCAATTTTTCGATTCTGAACAGAGCTGCTTTCGTGTCGTGATCTTTCAATCCACTCACGAATTGATCTCGAAGTGCTACTTTTATATTTTCAAAATTGCAGCGCGTTGCCAGTTTTTCTAATTTAGCTGTGAATTCAGCCACAGATTCATTCGCCTCTTGTTTGGCCACGTTAAACTTGCATCTTTCCATAATTTTAGACGGCTTTGGGTTCAAATGTCCAGTCATGATTGTCACCAAATCATTGAATTTCTTTGTGTTTAATTTATCCGGCGCGGCTAATTGCTTCATCAAACTGAACGCTTCTTCATCTAAGCGTGTTAACAAATGTGCGGCTTGCTTTTTTTCTTTGATATCTTTCGCCGTGAAGTACAGTTTCAGTCCCTCCACAAAATTTTCCCAATTGTCTCTATGTAGGCAAAATTTTAGTCTAAAGGCTGATTTATAGAGGCCGTAATCGTTGATTTAAGCCGTAATCTTTAAGAAATTGACCAATCACAGTCGATTTTTCTTCTCACATTCGAGAAGAAAATCAGCCTCTATAAATCAGCCTTAATGCTGTCGCCCGCCATGTTGCTTTCGTCTGAGTCAGTTGCGGCCTCATCGTTACTCGCAGCGTCGCTGTATGAAGAATCGTCAGATTCACTTTTTTTTTACTGATTTTCGTACTCTCTTTATCGTTTTTACTGACCGACCCGGCTATTTCACGTTTCACGGTTTTCCTCAATAATTCACGCAATTCATCTAACTTATATCACTGGTACTGCATTCGATTTCTTTTTTTTTCAACTTGGCTATTACACCTTTTTTGTCCAGGTCTTCCCACGACGTTCCTTGTTGTCCCTGCATATAATCCTACTGTTGCACTGTACCTTCCTACAGTGTTATACTCTACGCGAATTTTGAACGCTGGATAAGCACCTCACTGCTCACGCGTCTCGCCTTCCCGCGACGCGTGCCAGTGTTCACGTGTCACATTTATTAATATATACATCGTGCTTGGGAGCACGCGGTGGGCGCCTTGTTAGCCGACTGTGTACTGGCCTTGTAGTCGCTCGGCGCTGCTCCGCTCACTCCGTCGCAGCGTGTCGGTGTTATTGTTCGCTACCGTACTGCTCCGTGATACATCACAATATCTATATGTCTTCATTCTACATTAAAAATCATCTTTTGCATTTTTTATAAAAAGTAAAGTTTGAGTTATTTTGCCCATATATGTTAAAAATTTGCCATGTATAATCATATAAGTACATTTATATATATAAGTACCGGACGTCTGTCTGTCTGTCTGTCTGTCTGACCGCGAACTACTCATTCGTTAGTGGACCGAATTTTTATCAAGGGTACATGAAATAGGG